AGCATATTAAGTTACACATGCCAAACTACTTTTATAACTATTCGATTAGTTATAAAGTTTTAAATTTTTCAAAGACTAGAGTACTTGCACACGTGCTTATATGTATGCTTTTAAGCAATACTTGAACTAAAAGTTTCTGATTCCATCAGAACTAAGTTATAAAAGTAGTTTGGCATGTGTAACTTAATATGCTCTACAAAATGGCTCGCTTGAAAGTTCTAAATCCAAGTGAAAATTTTATCTTTATTTTCTAGAAACCTCACTTGGTTTCCGACGGGTTTTAAAAGATCCCAAAATCTACCATGGCTCATCAGAGTACACTTGATGAAGTCCAACAATATCATAGGGGACGAGAAATTCGCACCATTTTCCGGGAGAGAATCGTCGTCCAAAATGTACAGGTCGATGATTTGGGCTCTTACAGCATCGTCAGCTGTAAAAGAATGAAAACATGAATGGAGCTCGCGATTGTGTGAATTTGTAGTAGCCACTATCTAGTATTTATGATAAAGTTGACTAGTCTAAGTCATATGTCATTACGAAGTTACATGTAGTTTAAGTTGACAATTTTTAAAGATGGCGGAATATTAGTTTTCTGGCGTTTTCGTAAAAATTGAATATTTCTGCAACGCGACACCTTTTGGATATCTGGTTTTTTGCCAAAATTCATGAAAATGTTAGCTCAAAAGAGACCCTCTACTTTGGGAGAAATCTGAGATGGTCGGTTGAGCAGCATTATAGGTCGTGCCTTTCTTATATTATGTTACGTAGCTTTTCACCGAAAACATTATTTTTATATTTAAAAACAGTATACATACTTAAAGCACCGTTAGAAACGAATATGTATCCGAAAAAGGAGTAAACTATTAAACTCATGAAATCATTACCTCTGGCATCTCCACCGGTACAAAATGCTTTATTTCCAGTACCTTTTATTATCACCATATTAGTTTGCCCATCAGCTTCCCATTCCTATAGAATCGCGAAAAACATGGTCTTGTATTCTACAGCTTTTCACAGAAAATATTTTTCTTACTTTCATTTGCACATGGCTCGGTGGTGAATTGTTTCTATGCGATTGGTAATATATTTGGGTAGAATGTGGTATACCGAGAACAGCCAAGACAAATGCGGATATATGAAAGCAAAATATAAACGTCGTCTTGCTATATAAGTTACATTTTTTCATCGACACACATATTTCAGGGTGTCCATTGCCTTTTGGGTTTTTCTCAAAATCGATTGGAAGTGAAGATTAAACGATAGTTTGTTGGTATACGTGTAACCAAGATACTTAACAAATCGTACGCACTTAATAAGGTGATTGTTGAGTCTCAGCACAATATTATATATCCCAATTTGTTTATGATGAAGCATATACCGTTTTGTCGATGTTCACCGGTTGTTTCCATTTTTTGGTATACGCACGCAACTGTGCCATTATATTGTTTCCTGCTTCTTCGAGATACGTCAGCTGCTCTGTCACTGTTCGCCACAGGGGATCAACAACTACGAACGACAAATAATCTGCAAACAGGTGAGAATAATGTGTGGCTACAATTGACGCAATAAGATCATGATGATAGGTGATGAAGAGGAGAGGCGAAACACAGGCACTCTGAGGAAGGCCCCTGAATATCTTGATCGATGGGGATCTTTGTCCTTGATAAAAGATGTAACATGATCGATTTCTCAAATAAAACTTAATTCAATTATACATAGCTAGTGGGCATCGGAGGCTGCGTAATTTAAATATATTGAGCAACACTTGGCCGATACGAAATAGATAAAATTTGATTAAAAGGAGAGATACTTAATTAATTAAGTTCACTGAAGAAGACCTCAATTTAAAAGAGGTCGAAACGCTTGATTGTCTTATATATATATATGTTTTAAATATTTTTAAATTGTTTTAATAAAATACGAAATAAAAGTATCTCCCCTTTTAATCAAAAGTAATTTAAATAATAGTGCTTCTACCCACACGTTGTCGTACGTACTTTGGAAGTCCGCGTAAATCAACAAAATAAGACGGCTGAAGGATAGTGCACTTTGTATCTGTTGTAAAATGTCAAACACTCTGTATTGCAGCCGCTGTCCTTTCTGAAAAGCGCTTTGTTCTAACGGAATTAGTCCGTTATTTTTCAGCCAGGTACAATATCGTAGGAGGAATAACTTCTCATAAACTTTGAATGAAGCTGGGAGCAAGCAGATTGGTTGCGTGTCGTTTATCGCCGGAATTTCATCTTTCCTTTTGTTATGTAAGAATATTTTACTCACCCTCCAATGTGGGGGATAGACGCTTGTCGACAAACAATTTAGAATTCTCACCAACACTGCTGTGTAAATCGTGTCTATTTTGACTAACATTTTATTTGAGAGCTGATCTATGCCACTTGAGGTGTTTGGTTTGAGAGTTTTCATAAGCTTATGCAACTTCTGTTGAGTAAATTGTAAATTATAATCATTTACATTCGGAATCTGCTAATAATTTTTGTCATGATCGTTGTATGCGTTCAATATCTCAACGTCATGTGAATCTTGATAGTCGATATTGTGGGGCGAGAATTGTTTTGTGAAATACATCATAGCTCCTTTCGTTATTTTTCCTGCATCGTGAGTTATTTCACCAGTAGAAAGTTGTAAGAAGCTTATTGGAGGAGGTCGTGTTCGAAATAATTTTTTAGCATAGCTCCAAAACTTTCGTTGGTCTTGCAATAGATGTGACACAAATGATTCCCATTTCATACGCTTAACTTGACTTATTTCGTATCTAAGCATATTTCGATGTTCATAATATATTAGACGATCTTCTTCAAATCGATGCTTTAGATAGCGGTTACGAAAATGTTTGTTCTGATGGATCATTTCACGTACACAAAGCGGAAGGCTAATTCTATACTGACGAGGGAACCTCTTGAGGTTATAAATCGCTTTTGAACTCGGACTACTTGTATCTTGTAAACCTCAGTGAGTAGTGAAATACCCTAAGTTGGTTCATCCCCATGGTACTTTGTTGCTGAGATATTGAATTTTTAGTCAGTTTTTGTCTATAGAGCTTGGATTTCGAGCAAAAACCGACTTTCGAATTTTGACTTGAAACTTGCCACACTGGTAGCCCATAGTCGTAGTAGCACGATGGGAAAAAATTTGATCCTAATG